CAACGATAAGCTAATTTACCAAAATGTATACGTTTAAGACACTAAAAGAACAAAAAAAAAATAACAGAAAAATTCAATAGATATTTGTTTTAATTATAACATACTACACAACAAATTTCAGGTATAAGAATATTTCTTGAAATAAAATTATGTATTTTTGAATGTAATCTAGTAAGACTAGATGATGGACTTGATTTAATAATAAGATTTGTTATTGGTGTTGATGGTGTTAAAGTTTTTTGTTCTATTAATGGACTTGTTATTTTTGATAATATTGAATTTGTTGAGGGTAATAATACTTGTTGTTGTTGTTGATGATGATGATGATCATTATCATCATTCTGTTTTGTCCAAAACATATCATCTGTACTTAATTCTGATTCTTCTATAATAGATATATTTTTTTTAATATTTATCTTAATAAACAAAAAAAAAGTTTTAAACCTGATTTTGTATTTAGAAATTCTTTTGATGGTTTTCGTATTTTTTGTTTTGGTCTTTTATGAACTGATAATGAATGTCGACATGGTATAGGTATTGGTGATTTTATTAATTGACCATTTTGAATACGTTCAACAGTCATATTTGAATAGGATGATGTACATAATTGATTCGGTTTTGATCCATTATTAAAGAAATTTGTTGTAACAACCGGAGGAGACTAAAATTTATATTTTTATCTTAAACAATTAAGTCCATTCTCAACAAAAACAGTCGAAATACTCAATCATATTCACACCTAATTCGAAATCTATGTATCAAGGAATCATGAGTGCAACTTGAGCCTTTCGTTGAAATCAAACAAAAAAACTTAAATCTTTGGTTTTAATTAACAATCATTTTCGCTACAATTATGAGAATTGTATCGAAAAAGTTTTTTTTAAAACCGACAAAAGGAAATTGAAATATCGGGTTCTATTAAAATGTACAAGACATGTTAACTCGTATCCTTATTTTAAAAATTTTGCCCATGTAAAAGGACACTTTTGACTATACCTTGTCAATAGAGGTGTAAGCCAAAGGGTCAAACAGCGGCGACGGCGGCGGCCCAGCTGTACGGCTTACACTTCTACTCGTGAATATCTTAGAGATGGGTTTAGGACAGTTGCGCGCGGACACTTACTTGCTATAACAGTTACATAGGGTCCTATAGCGAGCAACTGTCCTAGCGAGCAAGTGCCCGCGCGCAACTGTCCGGATCTCCTTAGAGATATATTATCCAGGTTTTTTTCTCCGGAGGGGCGATTTGGAATTTCTGGAGGGCAAGCCATATAGTTCGTCGCGCGATGATCGCGAGTCTCGGGGGAGGGGGCACCCCTCTAGATAAAACACTGATATTATCCTTAATCTATTCTAGCCAAGACTGACGATTCTCTGAAATTGAATGGAAGCGTTTATTTCTAAGAGAAGACGCTCAAGAAATATATATTTACTTTATTATGTTTTAAATCAATATCATTATTATTGATTGGTCGTTGTATTTGATTAATACCTGTTGATTGACTAACAACTTTAGGTATATGTGAATAATCATCATCATCATTAACTTCATCTCGTGTACAATTTTTATCAGATAAATCAGCTGTTATTTCATTCTCTGACATACGAGAATTTCTAGAAATAAAAAAATTTGATTTTATCTTGTTTTTTGTTGTTGTTGAATTAAACAAACAAACCGAAGTATATCACATAATTGATTATAAGTATTTTGTTCAGTTATTGTACCTTTTATTCGATCGAAATATCGTTGTAATTCAATAAAACGTTCATTATTTCGTTTATTATGTTGTGTTAAACGAAGAATTTGTAAGCTGAAAAATTAATAAATTAAATTTTTTTGTAATAGTAAACAAAGTTTATAAAATTACCTTTGTGATTGAATTTTTTTATCTTTACGTGCTAATTCTATTCGATATTGTTCAATAGATCGATCAAGTTGATCAGTATATGTACGTAAATCAACATATTTACGACGAAGATCATTGTGAAATGTTAACAAATTACTAAATTCTATTTCAAAAAAAAAAAAAACAAAATTTTGATTTAAACAAATTCGATCTACAATATGACTGATGATAAAAAGAATGTTCTACAGAAGATTTTAACAAACCTTGATCACAAGAACGTTGTGTTAAAAAATTATTTTTTGTTAATACATCTTGATAAGCAATTATACGTTCTAATCGAGCTTTAAAACTAGTAGTCGTATTGGTCTCCATAGTTAGATATACAATAAGAAGAACTATTCAGATATATTTACTATTTTTAGAAGTAAATCAGTCGATATCAAGAGAGATTGTATGAAGGAAGGATTCATTCAAAAAGTTGGGTCTTTGTAGATCATATCCAATTGAAATTTGCATATAGACATAAAGAGTTTATTAAATTCTAAAAATATAACTAATGTGAAGCTTATTGAATTCAAGAACAAGACATCATTAAGAATAATTTAATTATCTAATA